ATCTGTACTCAGAAAAGTATAAAATACTCATGAAAAAAATTGAGGAAGACACAAAGAAATGGAAAAACGTTCCATGCTCATGGATTGGAAGAACAAATATTGTGAAGATGTCAGTGCTACCTGGAGCAATCCACCCATTTTTATTTTAAATCAAATTGATGTAGAAAGCAAAACCCATAGGTGGCAGGTAGGACTTATGGCTGAACCTAAGCAGGTCAGATACAAACTCAAAGATCATCTTTATCCATAGGATGTATTAAAAAGCTATTATTAATAATAGTGTTATTATTAATAGTATTAAAAAACCATATTATTCAGTTGACCAGAATATAATGTCACAACACTGTCTGACAAATAAAATAAAATGGAAAACCTTAATGTCTCAAAAAAAAAAAAAAGACAGTTAACACAGGTCATTAAAATATATTTTCAAAACATGATGAAAAATGAAGAGGCTCATCTCAACAAAGTGGAACACCTACCAGCAAAATTAATAAACCATGCTTCCTTCTCTAAGTGCCCTCAGGGAGTAAGAAGCCAATGCTATGGGGGGCCTTGTTCCCAATTAAATTAAGGTCGTTAGTAAGGAAAGCAAGAATGGACAATGAGTAGTCAACTAGTAGTCTCTGACACAATCCCTCCTATTCCCCAGTCAAGTGGTCCTATATTAAAGGTATTTGTATCTGTACACAGATGAAGGTATGAAGACAGTATTTTTTGCCATAAAATATACCATGTATGCAAAAAAGTATCTATATGTATCATACATGTATGGATTAAAGCAAAAGTCAGTATTTCACTTGAACTATAATGCTATCAGTTCAAAAGATAATACTTTATGCATCATAACAAAGAAAAATGTTGCCAACTAATACAATGATTTCTTGTTACTGAAAATTTGTATTTCATACAAATAGAGCCTATCTCACTGAAGCTTTTACTTTCAGAAACTTGTGATGCCGCCTGTGCATTATGGGGAGTTTTGAAGGTCTGAACAAAAAACCATTTGGAGGGCTCAATGTTAAGATCCTGAAAATGAGTCAGGATGATACACAATGAAGGTATCCCATAGACAATGAGGAAAGGAAGAGATTCTTAATTTTGACCCTCACTTAATTCACTCATGGATTCAGATTCAAAAGCCTACTGATCATATCATTCCTTGCCAAAAAAAAAAAAAAGCCCACAACGAAGTACAAACTTCTAAGCATGGTATTTGAAGTGTGTGGCAATATGGACCCAACCATTGTAACCATCTTACCGTCTTCATGAGCATACTGTATTTCAGCCAAATACTGACTAGTGACTGTCTCTTGAATGTTTCCTCTTTTCCCCTGAGATGTGGTACTGGAAAAGCACTGCTCAAATTTTGCCCCATGCTGTAGTTTTTATACCCTTAATACAGCTCATCTCTCTACAGAGACTGTGAGCTCCCTATGGGCTTTGTTCACCAGGCTGCACACCTCACCCTGCCCTGTCCAGAGCAAAGAATCTGACACACAGTAGGCACAAAGTCAATGTTTACTTAAAAAGTAATGAATCAGGGGCATCTGGGTGGCTCAGTTGGTTGAGCATCCAACTCTTGGTTTTAGCTCAGGTCCTAATTTCAGGGTCAGGAGCTCAGAGACCTATCAGGCTCCATGCTCAGCGGGGAGTCTGCTTAGGATTCTCTCTCTCCCTCTCTTTGCTCCTCCCCTGCTTGCTCTCTCTAAAATAAACACATAAATTTTTTTAAAAATAATGAATTATCAGATATTGTCCTATCAAACTGGAATGCCTTGAAATACAAAGGCCAAGTCAGATCCATCCAAACTCAGTTAATTCTGTATTTGCTCATCCTTTTGTATCTTCCCACCTCTATAAACAGTGCTACTATCTACCCGTCAAGTCTAGAAAGTCTGTGTGTCATTTCATATTCTCTGTTATCCCTCACTCACTTGTCTAATCATTCACCACGTTCTAAGGGGTCTATGCCCATGTCCCCTCTACATGCCTGTTGTTCAGGCCTTTTATCATCTCTCCCCTGCATGGCCAAAGTCCTAACTGGCTTCTCTGATTCCAGTTTTCCTGTACTCACTTATGCAGTGACCATTCTAAGCACAGGTGTGGTCAAATCACTCCTGTGCACCCCCCATCTCCACCTGAACACATCTTGCCCCCTGCATCTCCTCCTCCAATTCCACTGAGCTGTGAGCTCTCTAAACTCACCCAGCTGTCTCCATGCTGTGAGACTCTATATCCTGTGTCTCTTCATGTACTCCCCACTCTGCCTAATTGTTTATATATACCAGTTATTATCATAGGGCATGTAGTAGGCATTTAATTGTTTCAAGAAATGAATAAATTGACCCACTTTAAGAAAATTATGTTTCCCTATCTTTGAAATGGGTGGGTGAACTGTGTTGACATTTGAGATCCATTCTAGTTGATATCCTTGAGTTCCACGAATGGCTAACGTGCATTGCCTTGGAGACTAGGAGAAGCTGCACAAGAGTGGTCGGGACAAGGAAACCAATCTCTGGATTATGGTACCCTACCTGACCTAGTTCTAGACAAGCTCCTCCTCAATTTTTGAGATAACCTGAAAAACAAAATAGAACAAACCTAGTCAAAACAAGTACCACGTAGTGACAATATTTTGTTATATAAACACCAGTTTCCAATAAAAAGAGCTGGGACTCCCTGGAAAAGCAGTTGATTACAAAGCTGGGATAGGGAAAATATGACCTTGGAATATCTGGAAGCGCCAGAAATGCTAAAAGACGAGACCTGTTGAAGGAACACAGGAAACAACATAAAGGAGTTTGTACTGACCTTAGTTAGAACAATCAAAGCAAAAAAAAAAAAAAAAAGTTGATTATAACCCATAGAACAAATATCTATGTCACAAACAAATAATTGAATAAAAACATAAATGAGTGAGAAAGGATACTTCTTCCTAACAGTGGATTCCAATTAATATAGCCAGAGGGAATCAGGGAAACATAAAATCATTAGGCAAACACCACAAGAATAACAGGTGCAGACAAAATCCACCAATGAATGCTGAAATCGGGGGGCAAACAATTGGTTTTTGCAAAGAAATAACCAGTAAATGCAGTGTGGGATCCTGGAACCAAAATGCCAATGCAATTCAAATGTTTCTCTGAGTCAGGATTACGTAGCATGTTAATCCCCTGGCTCTGACAGAGTGTTACTATGAGAACGGGCTGGAGGAGAAATATACAGAAACTGTATGATTGTTTGGCAGTTTTTCCACAAGTTTGAATTTTTTTTTGAGTACTCACTCTTGTCTTTTGAATTAGTGATTAGAATAATTCCCAAATGCTGAGGAAGAACACAGGTTAGCTGCAAGAAAGACAGATTGAAATCCTCACTGTACACTCATCAGTGTGTGTGTGTCTTTGTCCAAGTTACTCATGTCCTCTGAACCCCCATTTCCTTCCTCTGTAAAACTAAGATCAATAGGACTTTATTGTTTCTGGTTGTGAGAACCAGATGTGTGCACACAGGACCAGCACAGAGGAAGAAACAGGACTTGCAGTTTCCTTCCTGAGGTGCCACGCACATCCCTGTCCTCTTAGAGCTCACAGTTCAGAGAGGGAAACGGCCAGACCCTAATCCAACTCACACATCCAACTTTCTGACTGTACTGCTCGTTTACCTGTGCCATCCAGGATTTAGCACGTACAGTGCTCTGCAGCAAGTGAAAAGGATGAGCAAAGGAGTGTGCAACCCTTTCTACTGGACTGCAAACTCCTTGGGGAGAGAGCTAGGGTTTCACTCATCCCGATTCACCACATGCACCTGAGTACTGGGCATCTGAAAATGGAAAAATGAATTAAGGCCAATAGAAAGCAGGGAGGGAGAGAAATCTGGCCACCCACCTGGACCCCTTTTGGGTGAGGCTGAGGTTTATGTATTCCTGGAGTAGGGAGCCATATCCTCGCTCCTTTAGGCTGCTCTGGTTCTTTTATCTCCCCGAGGGGTTCCATGTGATTTCAGGAATGATTTGTTTTCCCACATCCTATTAAGATGGTAAAGCCTTTCAGTGGGAGTTCTCTCCTTTTCCTTACTCTTCCTTGGGGCTTCAGCCTGGACTGGGGAGACTCTCTGGCCTCCATCCTGTTTGCTCATGTTGCCTTCACTCTGAAAGGCCGAGACGGAGGGTCCCATTTCCGGACCTTCCGTGCTGTCTGTAACAGGTCTGCTGATTGCCTCCCCTCCTTCAACCACACTCATGCTGCCCTGGAGAGTTACTGTTGCCCCTGGTTCTGCCCTTTGGACGGGCCCTGCAGGTGCCTGGATTGGGACAGACGGTGTGTTCCTACGCATACAGTATGAAGCGTATTGTCGGTTTCCTTCCCCACCAGTATAAGCCAGAGAGGTGGCCCCAGACACATCAGCGACCATGGAAAGGCTCCTGATGTTGACCTGATCTTGATCCCCTTCTCCGTGGAGCTCCATGGCCTGTGCCGAAGGGAGAAACAGGGAAGCAGAGAAGAAAGTAAGTGAGACTAGAAGGGATTGTCACTTGCCTTCTTGAAGCTGAACCACTCCAGAGCTTTTAACTGGGAGAAACTTTGAGGTCATCAAGTCCAGTGGATGTACGAATCCCCTCTATGGCACCCCCCCAATGGTCACTCAAGTTTTACGTGGACAGCTCCAGTGCCAGAAGAGCACTGTGGCCATTCAGGGAGCATCCTCGCACTTCTATTTTATACACTTGTCTTAGCATTTCTGCAAAAGAGTCCCAGGAGTGAGACTGCTGGCCAAGAGCTATGCTCTTTTACATTCTCCTCTTCAGGAACAAACTGCGCACATGTGCACAAAGCATGCCACAGATGCACAGAAAAATCAGTGCGCGGCTCCAGTTAAGGAAGGACTTTTCATACTTGGAAGTGTACCCTAACAGATCGGACCACCTGGGTTGTAGTAGCAATTGTCCCAGAGTGGCCTGGGCAGTGGGGATGCTGTTGAGGGCATTAGAACATTGGCTATGAGAGCAGAGGAGCCGACATCTAAGGGGCCACGGATATTCAGAAGCACTTGGGGCCTTTCCAGTGTGGCAAGGTCTCTGCATGGTGCCTTATTTGGCCCGAGTTCTTCCAAATGCAATGCCTTCTCCTGGTGAGCCTCAGAGAGCAGCCTGGAAAAGCCTCAGCTGCTCTTCCAAATCACCCTGGCCCCATCTCCAAGAGTCTATGCAAAGGCTTACTGCTGGGCTCTTCCTGTGCTCTGCCTCCAACCCAGGTATGGAGACCATGTCACCAGCAGGTTGGGCCTGGGTCCCACTGTAAGCCTCCACTGGCGGTCTCAGCAGGTACACTAAGTCTTCCCAGCATGCAAACAGATCTTGTCTCGCATCTGAAGGAAGGCACAGTTGTAGGTAAAAAGAGCGACCAGTGGCAAGCTTCAAGTGGAACTGTTTTTTCTCATGATTATAGATGGCTAACTTGACAAACTTCAAAGGAAGCAGCCTGTTGGGGAGCAAAGAAGTGGGGGATTAGGTTGAGACAAATGGGAAGGAAGAGGGAGGGAGTCCTTTGGCCCAGTCCGAATCTATTTCTCTGCTAAAGGATTTGCCAAATCCTGTCTGCTTGACCTCAGCTCTCATGTCCACCTCCTCATCGCTGATAAGTGCAGTCTTAATTTGGAGTACAGCACTTAGCTCGTTGGACCTCATGCAACACCACGATGGCTCCTGACCACCTACAAGACCGCCCCCCACTCTGCCATGCACGGCCTGCAACTATGTGTCTCCAACTTTCTTCCTGGTCTTATTCTCACAACCCTTCTTCTATAATCGATAGGCACTTTCCCCACAAAGGTGTCTGATTTCTCCTCCTCTGAATCCACACCACAGTTGCTGGTCATGCTGTGGAGGGCGCGCTCACTCTGGGCTCTGTGTCATGGTGAATCATGTGCTTGATGGTCTTGCCCCTTCTGCATACGTCCTACAGGGAGGGACTAAAGTTCCCAGACTCGCCTGGTCAGCTCCAATCTCTCTGTCGACCTGAGGTCCTTTCTCTGGGTATCTTGGTCATTTCTGGCCCTGACTGCACAGCTCACAGCCGGCTGTGCCAGCAGCATGGCATCGGGCATTGTGAGGTGGCGGCTGGTATACGCAATGCCCACCGTCACCATCTGCACAGCGCTGTGCACATCAATCACTTCCCCTCTTCTGTTGATCTGTTGTTGGAAGAAAGAGGAAAGCGGCATCGTCTTACGTCCTATTGGTCCTCCTCTGCTCCGCTCCTAAATAAAGTGGCCACCACAGTTCTTGGTGTGCGGCAAAAACTCAGCGGGCTATGGTTCAAGCCGTGTACCATACCAACAGAACGGATTCGTATTGCCCTCTCCAATCTGAGCTCTCAGAGGAGGCAGACTCCCTTTCCTCAATGTGCCTGTGATCAGAGGCTTTTGTACTAGAAGTACCTGTGTTCACCATTAAAATAGTAAGTCGGCAGGCACAGCCAAAGACCCAGCAATTCAGCCCCGAAAACGTGCTCTGCATTGACTTGCACATGCCCAGATGTGATGGACAAAGTTGTTCATCACCAGATTTTCAGTCACAAGAGACCATGCACGATGCAAGTACTTCCCAGTAAGTGTTTGAGTAAACAAATGTAGTTTTTTTTAGCAAAATGGACATTTTATTAAAACTAAAAACAGCTTTTTTGCCTAAAAAATACCAATGCAGAAAACCATGAAATGCAAAGGGATCATTCTGGACTCAAGGAGTAAAAAGGTGTGACGATCAAGTGTAAAACATGATCCCAGATGGGGAAATACAACTATTAAGAACATTATTGGGACAACTGAGAAAATGTAAACGCTCACTAGTATGATAGCATTCTATCAACAGCAAATTTCATGAAATTGTGCCGTGGTTACATAGGCAAATGTCCAAGTTCTTAGAAGACATATGAAGAATTTAAAGATAAAGGGGCATAATGCTAGTCACTTACACCTAACTCTCCAGTAGTTGAACAAGAATAATCATCTACGTCTCGTGTCTGTGTGATTTTACTGGCTCTGAATCCCGCCTACACATTTCAATAAACTGGGAGCTCTGCAGCGCCCTGCTGCCCATAGTGTCCAGGTCATTACACCACAATCCTGGGAGTGGGTCCTGGGCATCAGTGTTTTCTACACTTTCTAGGTTATTCCAAGGAACAGCCAAGGTTGAGAATCATTGACAGAAGTATAGTTGAGCTACTGGTTGATTCGCAGGGGTCTACTCTCACCTACTCTTCTTGCTGTCACACTTACGAGGTGTGTGGTTGCTCACACCAAAAGTCTGGTTCGCACTGCTATGCCCCAACCCACACCATCATCCTGAAAGCCATGTGGAGTAGAAACTCCCTGAGCTGAAGGCCTGAAAGTGGGGGCCTCAGCCACTTGACGGCCTGGGAAAGTCACCTCACTCCCTGGAACTCAGTTTGCTCCGGAGTAAAATGGGGATCTTTGTTCTGCCTACATAAGCAGGCTGTTGTGAGGCTGACAGGAAATGGACACCCAATTGCTTTGGATACTGGAGAGAACCATATAAATATGGTTTCAGGATATCTGGAGCTTCAAGTTTCTACAAAACACACTGAGGGAGAAAAAGCAAGCTGCAAATGGCCGAACCAGTAGGACATCACGTCGCAAGTCCACACGTCCCACCCAAGACCGTATTGCACCTCCAAGAGTCATAAAACGTTTAACAGGTACACACGAAGGGACAAAACCTGCATGAGAATAATGACCACACTTGGGGCAGTGGTAGCTGGGGAGAAAGGGAAATGCAAGAAGGGAAGTGTGTCCAGAAAGATTAAACCATATTCATGTTTTTCCTCCAAAAAATATTACATCTGAAGCAAGTATGGCAAAGGGCAGCCACCTGATAAAACTGGGTGGATAAATCAGGAAGTATAAAAACAAAACAAAACCACTGTCGCTTTCCTCTACCCGGTTGCAATGTCACCGAAGACATCCTTGCACACTCAGCACATGATAGGTCTTCGATAAGTTGTTGTGGGAAGAAAAGAATGAACGGGAGTAAAGAGGGGGGGACTACACACATGAATCGGGGAGAAGCGGGGAGAAGGGGGGACCAGACGCATGAGTCGGGGAGAAGGGGGACCAGAC